GCTGCCTTCTGCTGCTGCTTTGGGCTCTTTCATTACACTGCAACCCAGCATCCTGTGCCTGCCAGTACATCCCACAGCTGCTGCTATGGCTGCAGAGTTTCTGCTGTGTTTTGTTTGCTGCTCAGGGAAGGCTGAGGAACAGAGTTATTTTGGTTTGAAGGAAGGAAAAAAAAAAACTAAGGAAGATTCTAACTGTGCTATTTCCACTGCCTAGAGGAGTGTTGGGAGATGATTTCTTGGAATTGCACAGCACAGGAAAGTAATATGGCAGGGAGTCAGCTGGTTGCTGCCAAGGATAATTCAACAAACCAGTGCAATGAGGATGGAGTTTCTTTTCCACAGCCACTGAAGAGTTAATGCTTTAACACAGACTGTACCTGTCATGTCGAAGTGCTCTCATATCTACATAGACTGTTGTTGGATCTGGTCCTGCTGTTCCCTAAGAATAAGGAGGAAGAAACAAATTCAACAGAAGCCACAACACCCTGCTTTCATTCTCACAGCTACATAAATTCACAAATTTCCTCTATCTTTTTTATTGACACTTACAAAGCACTTCCCTAATGTCCAAGAAATAAAGTAGCCCCCCTTTCTACAGTCAGTACTGTAGAGCCTTTGCTTTCTATGGAATCAGTCAATGAATGCACAAGTGAAGTATGTAAGTACAGGTAAGTCTAAGTTTGCAAAATTCTGAGATTTAAAATGCAGCTTTTAGGATTTTATTTAAGTAAGCACCTGCTCTATAACCCACACAGCCAGTGCAAAAGGATGTAAGCACAAACCTATGTGGGCCTAGTCCCTAACACTGCAGAAGCAGATGGAATTTAGGACGTGACAAGCACACATGCATCACTATACCTGTTCAGCCAGCTTGCCCAGCCTGTTTGGCTGACAGCAGGACCACAAACAGAAGTAACAGAGGCCATCAAAGTGTGGGAAACAGAGAGAAAGGGGAAAAAAAGAAAATACAAACAAAGAGGCACTGGAAACATAAGATACACACAGTAAGACAGAAAACAAAACTTACACTGTTTTAGAATGAAAAGAAAATTTCCATTTCAGAATACTTAAGAGCTTGGCACTTTTTGGTAGTTATTTTGGAAACATGCAAGTCTCAGATCATGGAACAAAAGAAGGCTACAGCAACCCATACACTGCTTTATAATAAACCTCTTCTTCCTGTGTAGAAGAAGACTTTGCAGCTTCAGAAACACCTCAGAAAACCAATCTAGCAGGGCTGAAAGACATGTATTTAGCCTGCTAATTTGTAACAAAAATTTGTTCATTCATTTACATTCATTTAAATCCAATTTAAAAAGTCTAATGGAGGTATCACTTCGGAAGAATGGAGGAAAAGGTCAGAAAACTCCTCCCACTAAAAAGGATCTCAAGAATGGAAAACAAAGATGAAAAAGGCATAAAATGAA